ACAATCGGTGAGAACAAAAATTAAATCGACAGTTTCAGATTCTCAATTTCAATTAGAATTTTTAGTAATTGATAAAATTACGGACAAAATACCACAGTATTCTTTTGATTCATCTGTGCTTAATATTCCTTCAGGATATAAGCTCGCTGACTCAGACTTTGATCGAGCCTCAGAAATTGACATGTTGCTAGGAGCTAACATTTTTTACAACCTATTGCTTTCCGAGCAAGTGAAACTGGGTCGTAACCTTCCAATTTTACAGAATTCAAAACTTGGTTGGATTTTAGCGGGATCGTTTAATATTTACGAACAGCACAAATCATTTTGCAATTTTGTTTCAAATTCTGAGATGTCTCAAATCGATGAGCAATTACAGGCATTTTGGCGTATTGAGGAATGCCTTACAAAACAAGTCACATTAACAAAGGAAGAATCTGAATGTGAGCAGCACTTTTCGGAAACATTTAAGCGTACCGAAGCAGGACAATTTGTAGTAAGTTTACCATTTAAAAACAATCTGAAACAATTAGGCGATTCCAGAGAAATTGCGCTACAAAGATTTCAAAGTTTGGAAAGAACACTTGCGAAAAATTCAACATTAAGTGAGCAATATTCCAAATTTATGAAAGAATACATTGATTTAAATCACATGACAGAATTAAGACCAAATCAAAATCCATTAAATGACACTTACTATTTACCACATCATTGTGTAATTAAAGAAACATCGATTACCACAAAACTACGTGTTGTATTCGATGCATCCGCTAAAACTACGTCTGGTTATTCTCTCAATGATGTACTTAAAGTCGGTCCAGTAATTCAAGATTCTCTTTTATATATCTTGCTTAGATTTCGAACTCACAATGTAGTTTTTACGGCCGATATAGCTAAAATGTACAGGTGTATATTAATGCAAGAAAATGATCGAAATTATCAACGTGTTTTTTGGAGGTTTAATCCTTGTGAATCGTTAAAGGAATTTAATCTAAATACTTTAACCTACGGCACATCACCAGCTAGCTTTTTGGCTACACGTTGCCTCAAACAATTAGCAGTAGAAAATATTGCAGGCGTCCCAGGCGCAGCTAACTCCCTTTGGTCCGATTTCTATATGGATGATTGGCTCTCCGGCGCAAATGATTTAGAAATCAGCCTTACAATTAATAAGGCAAGTTACTTCTATTTTAAAGAACGCAGGTTTCATATTAAGGCAGTGGAAATCAAGCGACATTCATGTATTAGAACATTTAGAGAATAAATGCGACACAAATACTAAGTACATTATTAATGACCATGAAAATTCAAAAACTTTAGGAATATCCTGGAATTCTGGTTACGACGAATTTTGTATTACCATAAGTAAAAAAGGTTTTTCGATATTTACCAAGCGAACGATACTTTCAGTTGTTAGTCAAATATTTGATCCTTTGGGTTTAATAGGCCCAGTTATTACAAAGGCAAAGATTTTTCTTCAAAAACTTTGGAAATATCAATTAAATTGGGACGACAATATTCCACCAATTTTAAATAGCGAGTGGATTGAATTTTACAAAGAATTTGACAGTCTTCGAGATTTAAAAATTCCACGACATATTTTAATTCATAACCCCGCAGATATCATTTCGAGAGGTATCAATCCGAACGAAATAGTAAACAATACATTGTGGTTTAACGGGCCTACGTGGTTATCGCATGAAAGGGAGCACTGGCCAAATCAAAAATTAAACATTGATGAAACTAAAATACCCGCCATAAAGTCAACTATTATCACTACTTTAGTATGCACTGAATTTGATGATAATTTAATCACTCGGTTTTCTTCTATAAAAATGCTCACACGTGTTGTTGCTTACATGCTAAGATTTTGCAATAATGCTCGTAAATTAGGTAATTCAAAACTGACAACAGATCTAACCATAAAGGAACTCGACGAGGCCACACGGTTGATTGTCAGACTTATCCAAGCGAAAGTTTTTAACTTGGAAATCGAATCATTGAAAAAACACACACCAATATCTCCAAAGAGTAAGTTAAGTTCTCTAGATCCATTATTAGATGAATTCGGGATTATTCGCGTAGGTGGGCGATTAAAAAATTCATTGTTATCATTTGAAAATAAGCATCTTATGGTTATTCCCACGAAACATCACTTTACTACTTTGATTATTAGAAATGCGCACTTATTAACATTTCATGGTGGAGCTCAAACAGTTTTATCCTATATTAGACGTCATTATTGGCCATTATCGGGCAGGAGAGCTGTAGGTAGTGAAATCCGAAAATGTGTTACATGTTTCCGCGCGTCACCGACCGATATTTTTCAAAAAATGGGCAATTTGCCAACCAGTAGGGTTACACCTTCGCGACCTTTCGCAATTTGCGGTGTCGATTATGCTGGTCCATATTTAATAAGGGATAGCAAACTTAGAAACAAGAAATTGATAAAATCGTATTTATGCATTTTTATATGCTTTTCGACCAAGGCGGTGCATATGGAACTTGTGACAGAACTTTCAACTGACACGATCTTAAATGCATTTAAAAGATTTGTAAGCAGGCGTGGACTTTGCACACGACAAGCTAAATTTCATCTTAAAGGAGTGTTAAAGGATAGCAATTTGACTTACGAGAATTTATATTCTTTGATAGTTCAAATAGAATCAATTTTGAATTCCCGTCCTTTATATCCCCTCACGGAAGATTCGGAAAGCCTCGACGTATTAACACCGGGCCATTTTCTTATCGGAAGCTCTTTAATTTCCTTGCCGGAGGCGCCGGTACCCGATAACCGCCACACTCATGTGTCGCTATATAGACACATGCAATTCATCATTCAGCAATTTTGGGCAAAATGGTCCAAGGATTATCTGCACACTTTACAGCGGAGGTCCAAATGGAGATTTGAAGGTGATGCCACTCTCGTCGTTGGTCAACTCGTCCTTCTAAAGGAGGATAACCTTCCACCGTCATGTTGGAAGTTAGCAAGAATAATACAGATCCATCCTGGGAGCAACGGAAAAACGCGTGTAGTGTCTGTGAAAACTAGTGACGGAACTTATAAACGAGCCATCGCTAAAGTGTGTGTTCTTCCTATTGAAACTGGCAGTAAGATTTAGCGAGTTCATTTCTGTTGAAAGGATCAAGGGCGGCGGCATGTCCGATCTCAAAACTCGAACTTTAAATTCGCCGCAACGGTGCGACTGTATGCGCATGCGCGGTAGTTGTGCGTATCACGCCACCCGTGGCGAGAAAACAGTATGCGTTTGCGTATGTATCCATAAGGAGCATGAGTATGTATTCGTAAAGTATATGTACCAGTGTCATGTAACAACAATAAATGTTCAGTTCACTTTTGAAGTATTCAGTCAATCAATGGTCCTTCACCAGCGCAACCAGGTGGATAATGGCAAGTGCGTAAATTAGTACGTGCACCATAAGACCCCACACAATTTTTTTGAATGGTAAATGGTTTGCGAGAAAATACTTCTTTTCTGAAACCATGCAGTACGTCGTAATAGTAAATGACGTCATCGCGTCTAGGTTGAGCGGGAGAAATAGTGATTTTCATATGGATTTGCGGATGACCGACGAAAATCGTAAATAGAAAAATTGTACCTCCAATTGATTGGCCATATATTATACAAATTTTGATCTACGGCTAATAATTTACTCTGGGAAAGAACAATTTTTAGAGTCTATTAGATATTTGTCCATAATTAAAAAAACTTGTATACCTATAAACGAAAAAATACTTGAAACAAAAATTATAGTAACGTATTTCGAGTCTCCTGGTTAAATAATTTTTCCGATCGGGTTCATAGCTTTCCCGAATTTTTTTTCTGGAACCCAAAATAATAAAAAAAAAACAATTTTTTAAAAAAACACTTGGGAGATCTGATTGCTCTCGGTTTCTACAGTTTAGATGTGAGTATGGACTTTTACTTCTCTGCTAAAATTGAAGTCGATAGCTGCAAATTTGAGACACCTATTACGTTTTTTAATATAGCACCGAATATTTTGAACACCCTGTACAATATGTGAAAACCTTAAATACAAATGTTTTAGTTGCTCATATGGACTATATGGTCATGTGAAAGAATCTGGCAGATGCAAGGCAGCTTTCTAGTTATAGTTAATTATTATGAATACAGGGAATCCAATTTTCAGTTTTTTGCAAATAGCGGGCACACCCTGTACGTTTTTGAAAATTATGAAGAATAAAGGTTATAGCATTCGATCTGCTTCGAAGAATGCTTCCGATTGCATAAACGGTTTTCGAGAATTGACATTTTTCTTGGACTCTTGCAAACGCGATTTTTATTTTTTTTTTAAATAGTATTAAATCATGTTTCGGTTACGTCATCAGAGTCGCTCACGTAGTAATATAAGAAATGATAGTGTTTTTCAAGTCCCAAACATCATATTTCCCTGTTTAGGAGAAGCTATGTCTAATGCAATTATGTTGTACAACTCGCTGCCCGAAAATTTCAAAAAACACTTTCTTTAAAAAAGTTTAAAATAGAATTTAAAAAATACCAACTATCTGGGCAAAGAATTAATCGAGGTATACCTAAACTAGAGAATAATTTAGGTGTGTACTTTTTATATCACCTTCAATTTTTTGTCTATTATTTTCGATTCCGTTTACTTCTTTTTATTTCTTTTCTTCGAGTGGTTAGGTAGTATAGCTTTTAAGCTAGACTTCACCACCTTACTTGTTTATGAAAAGTAATTTTGGAAAAAATACTATTAAGACGTTTTATTATTATTTATTATATTGTATAACTGGCAGTTAATTATCACCTTATATCCCTGCGATGGGGACTCAATAATATTGTTTCCTAGTTTATATTCAATAACACATTTTATTTATATTATTTAAATATGTATACAAAAACATTGTAATATTTATAGTATAGTATAGAGTACTCTGATACAAAAAACATTTGTTAATAGTATTTCGTAACATGTATGATAATAAAAAATATCATTGATACCTACTGTGCGGCGTTTTAACCACCCCTCCGGAAATGTCGAAGCTAATGTCAGTCACCATACCTGGAATAAAAGAGGAAAAGATTAATATTACTGTAAACACAAAATGTTTATACCACATAGCAATAAGTTACGTTGTCAATGTTGGGCCTAATTGGTCAATTTTTATGTGGAACTGAAATCGGTTCAAATTTATGGACCGTTTTTCATGCCCCGTGTATATATACATTAATACAATTGGTCCCCAATTTTGATTGTTTGTGTTGCTTTAATTATATTTAACGAGTGAAAACCATTTGGGCGCAATTGTATTACAAATTATATAAATTGCGGCCAAAAATTCAAATAAGGATGGTTGGCCAACCAATCACCACCTACGAAAATTTTAAATTTCTACTGCTTAACTGCAACTGTAAATTGTTTATACCGAGTGTCCCAGTAATCGTACGGTATGAATATTAAAACCCGTTTCCTGGAAGTTCGATGCTTTTTGTTCTATCTCTAAAAAGAAAGTGGTGGGGGGTGCTCCAACATTTCCTGAAAATGCTATCTGGTGACAGGGACTCAATCGTAGTTATTTCACTCATAACCCACTGAGAGCCTAGGAAAATCCCTTTTTAACGATTCCAAGTTAATTAAAATCCCTTAAGTCATTTTGAAGTTGTCGACATTTATTTCGGGAAATGTTGGAGCGTTCCACACCACTTTCCTGCCAGTCTTAAAACGGTGTTCATTAAATAAAAGAAAGTTTTCTCAAAATGCAATTATGAGAACGCTTCATTGATGATACTTTTATACTTTTTACAAAACTTTTGGATTCCTCCTAGGTCTGTTTTTGCTGAGTGGAACTTGCTGACGTTTCGCCAATCATCCTGTTAGCTTCTTCAGAGCTTGACTGAAACTGGCTCGTATTTTACTCTGCACCTGCTTATATATTGTTTGAGGGGGGCGGAGCTACGTGAGGGGCATAAACACCGTCTCGGGTGACTGATTCCCATAAGAAAAATATGTTATCCAGATTATCTGGAACCAAACCTTCTTACCTTAATTGAAAAATGCTTGTCGGGAACATATTTTTTTTATAACGGTCAAATTTTTGATCAAACGATGGGAACGGCTATGGGTTCTCCACTATCACCAGTCATCGCGAATATATTTATGGAAGCCTTTGAGAAGAAAGTTCTAGACACCTTTCATCATGGTCAAGAAATCATAGTAGATTTTCTTAGAATTTAAACTCTGTACACCCTAACATACGTTTTACCCTTGAGCTGGAAACTAATAATTACCTTCCATTCTTAGATATTCTTATCAATACAAAATCAGACCTAACATTGGGTCATTGTGTTTACAGAAAACTTACGCACACAGACCGATACCTTAATGCATGGTCACATCACCATCCGGCCCAAAAGTCATCGGTTATCAACTCTCTTGTTTACAGAGTCGTAAAACTATCTCAGCCCGAGTCACTGAATTCAGAATTATAACAACTTACCAATGCTCTTCTCTCCAATAATTTCCAAATTAAAGATATTAAGCGTTCCGAAAGCAATCCTACACTTGCCACTGTGGTCCTTCCTTACATTCAAAACATCAATGCCAAATATCAAAAGTTCTAAAGAAGTATAACGTCAAAACCAGATTTACCACTTGTCCAAAAATCTCTCAACATCTTCGATCCGTCAAAGACAAAATTCCATTTGAGAGACCGGACGAAAAATATCAACTAGACTCAAAGAACACGAAAGAGCCTGTGATGCGTTCGACTTCTCTTAAGTTTCTTCACCATATTTTTCAAACGTCTTAAACAAGTGTCTTTTAAAACTCTTTACAAATTGTAAATTGACTACGGGTTAAAAGCTGCCAAGGTGCCATATTTGCTTGCCAATTTATAAGAATCCTTTATTCCAACAACAATTGGCGAACAAATTTGAGAGATCAGGGACTTAGTTCTTACGGTATCACCAATTTCGACCGCAGAAAACATTTTTTTTTAAGTTCGCAACTTTTATGTTGCTTGGGGTAGTAGATGCTCTTTTGCAGCTACTCTTTTTGAATTGATAAGCTCGTGCACCTAGTCAGACGTAATCGGTTGAAGATCAGTCAATGTTTGAGTTGAAAACGTGGTCGGTTCAGATCAGGACGTCCTGGATTGCGGATTAGTTAATACATGAGGTGACGGTGGAATGGTGTAAATGGTATTTTAGTCATCCTTGTCACTTACAACTAAAACACATTTTCTTCACAAGTACTAGAATAAACTTTTATCTGTTTCTCCGTTTCAATATTTGGAATTTGCTGCTTGAGGAGAGATGTCAACGCTATCCCTCTTTTTGGTTTATCGCCAAACAAAGCTTCATATGGACTCTGGTGTATTCGTTCATAATAACTTTTGTTTTTGGTACAAAGGTACAAAGGACAGCCCCTCTGACAATTTATTTGAATCAATATCGTGCATCCATGCAGTTAACAAATTCTGTATACTCTGATTGACTCTTTCAACTCAGCGTTGTGTTTGGTTTGGCGACTTGGTTACTGAACAAAATGCAGATGCACAAAATATTTTAAAAAATGGAAAAAGGTGATATGCTACTTCTTCCGCTTTCTTTGTTTTTAACGGTCGTAAAATTGGTCAAATGATCTTGGTATACCATTATAAGTTTGCAATCGCCATCGCTGTGTCATTGCAAGTCTATCAATTCTTGATATCTAGAGTTTAATTCGGAACTCACCATTGGTTTTAAGCTTTTTAGAGGCACTGTGCTTCATTTGACACCATTTATACAAATCTAAACAGAGCATTACGACTTCATAGGTAATATGTTCTTATTTAACTTGCAATTCTTTAAGCATGAATTTTGTGAGTTTCGTAAAACAAGTCTTCGTGTAGAACATAATACTAGACCTTCGTTTCTCCTGGTATTAACTTTTGTTCGCCACTAACTTAAAATGTCAAAACATCTTAAACGTTTGCACTCTAAAGGAGTACTGCAGTTAATTTTAGCAGAAATTACTTCAGAAACGATTTTAGAATACCTTTCTTGAGAAAAATAAAAACATTTACTTCTTATTAGGGAATTTAACATTTCAAGAAATTAATCACTATTTACTGCAGTAGCCATCAAGTACAAATTATTTTATCGCTTTCGATCGAACTTTGTGTAAGACTGGCGACAAGTCAAATCATAACGAAGTGAATAAACGACACAAAAGCCTGTTTGGTCCGGCCGTTACTGACTTCAACTTGTATGTGTTTCTCGACATACACCGGTAAAGACTGAATTATTCGGTCTTTAACCAATTCATTTGGCGTTTGTCGACATTAATCTGTGTATGTCAACAAACACCAATTTCGGTCTTTCACGGTAACAAATATATCCAATTTCTCCACACGATCACACTTTTATCATGGTGTATGAGATGGTCTAACTAATATGCGTCAGATTTTTTTGTTTATTGTAGTAACTGACATAACAACAAATATTGCTGATTAGTGGTTATTAGTATATAGCATCAAATTATCTTCCTTGTTTTTGTTAGAGTTATTTTAAATAATTAAAAATCAGTTTATACATTGCAAAAAAAGGCATTCTGCATTCTCTCCGCTTCTTAGTTATTATTGATATCGTCTGTCTGAATGAATTTTTGAAGTCTTCGGAGCAAAACAAATATCTATCTTCTAACTGGAACGCACCGTCGGCTTGCATCAAAAAGCAAAACGTCCGCCGAACCGATTAAAAAACTTTCGAACGTATCCCGACGGCCAAGAAAAGAAGATATCAAACAAAACAAAAAGAAGACGCGACAAACAACGGCGAACGAGCGAGAAAGACTGCCGAAGGCAGTTTGAGTAATTCTTAAGTACACAAAAACGTCGACCCGTTCGGCGTTTGATGTCGACCGCGCGGCACCTTTGAAGTCTGTTTCGCGGGCGACCTTTAAACATTCGCGCCTCCGAGAAAGACGGGAAGTGGGGGAAAGAAGTGGCGACTAGCCCGAAAAATTCATTTCGCGGTATCGTTCAAGAGTGCACTGCTAAAAATAATGTTAATTTATAGTAAGCAAATTTAAATTATTAACTAACGTAGATATACAATATACAAATATAATATTATGTTATACGTGGCTAGGGCAATTTTACGTGATAATGTCTGCTATACGGGTCAAATGATTTTAAAGCAAAAAATACATGACATAAAAAAACTTCGTAGTTTTCATCTTTTTATTTCCTACAAATTCCAAAACAACTGCTTTAAAACTGTTCCAACTTGCTTTCGGAGGAATGAAACCGAACACCGTTCGGGATTTTCGATACATTCGACACTTTATACTGTTCCCATGTCTAATATTCTGCGAATAGCGACATGTTTGTTTAGTCTCGACGTGTTCGGCAGTGTAAACAGTTTTTGTAGCGCGAAAGAAACTTAATAGTATAAAAAGCGAGAACTATTGTGGTAGTTACGTGATGCCACAGAATGCAACTTATTTTAATCAGACTCTGGGTGTCTTATAAATTGTTTATTAATTAGTTTTAATATTATACAAAGATTAATTAACTTATTAAAACAAAGGCAGTTGTATTGTGGCATCGATTGAACAGACTTGTTTTTTAACAACATAGTTTTTGTTTGGCACCACGTAATTGGCGCAGTAGACAGTTTTGGCAAACACCCGGTACGTTTGAAAAATATCCATTTTGGGCAGAGGAAAGAACAAGGCATCCGCTGAACTCTATAGAAGCTAAGTCAAACTTGGGGACAAAGAGAAGAATCGCTCAGCAGTCCCATTGGTGCAGAGAGAGGAACAACAACTGAGCCAATAACGTGGTGCCAAGCGAAAACTATTTTTATATTTTATATATATTATATAGGAAGGAAGAAGTTACATGATGCCACTGAATATTTTATATATTAAATATTATTATTAATAATATTATATATTTAATTGGTTTTAATATTATATAAAAATTAACTTATTAAAACAAAGGCAGTTAGTTGTATTGAAGCATCGATTAAATATGATTTTCTACTCCCATCTCTAAGCGTCACTTTACAAAGTCAGTTGCGTATTTTTAAAAACATACTTTTCGTTTGGCACCACGTAATTTGTTTTGTCAAGATGGCACTATCAAATAAAGTTAGTTGAGATGAGAAGTTCAAGAAAAAAGGATCTCTTATTGAAATGCCCATTTCGGTATGTTCAGGAGAGCGATACAGTTTTTGTTTATTTTTATTGTGACTGTATTAAAGTTGTAGTGATCATGAAAACATATGTTACGGTTGTATTTCAAAATCATTTCATGAAATTTCCTATCTGTTTATTTTTGTGTTTTTGTTGGTCCTTGCCGTTCTGGGTGTGTTGTCTTTGGTCATTGGTACGAAGTTGGTACACGAGGCTTCTTTATCCGTCTTGGAGCAATACCATCTAAAGTTCAGCTTGTAATGTCACACACATAAGGATTCGGATGGTGGTATTGACAGAGATGCTCTCCCTTGGAAATGTTTTTTCCAACCACAAGTTTTGTTTCTGGTTGCTTAGTTTTTTTAATATCTTCAATATATTTTAGTTTTATAAATTTTTTTTCTTATTTCGTTTACATTAATACATCGACTCTAATTGATGAAAATTTTGTTATTTCTGTTAGAACTTGCTTGCAAATATTAAAAGGGAAGGTGGAGCAAGTTGTTACAGATGTATTTCAAAATTATTTCATGTTTTATTTGGAGTCGAGTTTTTAACTCACCTAGTATATTTCTTGCAGTCAAGTGTTTTTTTGTAAGATTTGATTAATATAAGCATCAACTTTCATTCTATAATTTAATTCATCTTCCGAAAACATCCTTGGTTGTGTTGTTTGACATCTCGCTATATTTACCATAATTTGTATTTGTAATGGTTAGCTATCAGCAGGCAAAATAAAAACAAAGGGGTGGGTTGGTTATTGGTAAACTGTTTTATCAAACTTATAATATTCCATCGTCTGATACGAACCAATATTGAACCTAACCAATCACTTTTCCGCTTTAATTTCATCTTTGACCTGACGGTGGTTTTGGGTAGTTTAAGTCCACAGCGACTCGTTGAGCGAGGCATTAAACAATTCCTCACTCCACGATTTTGACACTTTGTGGTTGCTTATGACTTCCAAGTAGACACATATATAGGGTTATTATTTTCGATGTATAGAAGTTTAAGTTGGCATTACTGTTCAAGATGGCTACCAGTTTGGTTTGGCAATTCATCCTGAATAAACTCACGCCTGAACAACGCTTGCAAATAGTGCAATTTTATTTCGAAAATAATGGTTCTGTGCGGAATACGTATCGCGCACTACGTCCATTTTATCGCCGACAAAATCGTCCATCAGAGCAGTTAATTCGATTAACCATGGAACGTTTTCGCACCACGTTTACTCTTATTGATAACTCGCATCCCCAGAGACGCCGTACGGTGCGTACAGAATATTGCTGCTGTAGAGCGTAGCATTGAGGAAGACCCGAATGAGTCCATCCGCCATCGAGCACAGGAATTGGATCTGTGTCCATCCACTTTATGCAAGATTTTGCGGAAGGATCTTGGTTTACGTGCTTACAAAATCCAATCCAACTCGTCGATTAGGTCGAATGGGCCCAAAACGAGATTGCCGTTGTTCCCGATTTTCATAAGTGAATTTTGTTTAGCGATAAAGCGCACTTCTGGTTGAATGGCTACGTCAACAAACAAAACTGCCGCATTTGGAGCGAAGCTAATCCTCAAGTGTATGTCGAAACACCGTTACATCCAGAAAAACTGATTGTTTGGTGCGCTTTATGGGCTGGTGGAATCATTGGTTCGTACTTCTTCAAAAACGATGATGGCCAGAACGTTACAGTCAATGGTGATCGGTATAGAGCTATGATCACTAACTTTTTCATTCCTGAATTGAATAACCATGATGTCCAGGAGATGTGGTTTCAACAAGACAGCGCAACGTGTCACACAGCTCGTGCCACAATCGATTTATTGAAAGACACGTTTGGTGACTGCCTAATTTCACGTTTTGGACTTGTGAATTGGCCTCCAAGATCTTGTGATTTAACACCGCTAGACTACTTTGCCGATATACGGCCACAAATGTTGGAAAAAGTCATCGAAAATTGGACGTCCACATTGGACTACATCCGCGCCAGCCGTGGCGGTCATATGCCAGAAATCATATTTAAAATGTAATGCCACAAGATTATCTTTCGGATAAATAAAATTCATGTATATAACAAACATTTTTATTTGCCATTTTAGATTAGTGTATTACAATTAGGTATGAAAGATGATGTCATTCAAATGACCCCCGCGACTCATGTGGCATGACGTAATTCGTTTATTGAAATTTCCTATCACTTTTTGACGCAATTCAGGCTCTATGCCGGCTATTTCGCGTCTAATCTCCTGTTTCAACTCTGGAATATTGTTTGGTTTACTTCTATACACTCTGTTTTTTAGATACAAAAAAAAAATCTAGTGGAGTATGATCACATGATCGCGGAGGCCAATTGATATCGCCGTTACGTGAGATAATCCGACCAGGAAACTTGCTCCGCAGCAATTGCATCGTTTCTCTGGATGTGTGACAAGTGGCTCTATCGTGTTGGAACCACAAAGCTTCAATGTCCAACTGCTCCCAGAAAAAATCAGATATCATGCGTTCTCCGCATTATCCTCGAAAAAAAAAGGGCCAATTATTTCTCGGCACCAAACAGTCACTTTTTGAGGATGCATTGCATTTTGAACAATCTCCCTTGGATTTTCTAATCCCCAAATACGAGCATTGTGTTTGTTTACAAAGTCACCAACGTGCAAATGTGCCTCATCGCTAAAGATGATTTGCGTTGAAAAATGAACCCCTTGTTCTCGTATCCATTCTGCAAACACGCGGCGCTGTTGACGATCTCGAGGTTTCAACTCCTGAGTTATTTGGACTTTATATGGGTGTAGATGCAAGACTTTTGTTAAAATTCACTGTGTGGTTGAATACGTAAGGCCCACGTGCTGCGATCGATGACGAATCGATGTGTTTGGATCTTCGGCTACACTTTCGCGAACAATGGCAATATTTTGATCTGACCGACCTACACGAGCACGTTGAGGGACTTTGAGGTTAGTTACAGATCCAGTTTGGTCAAATTTTTGACCCAGATTCCAAATTGTCCTCTCAGAAGGTCGATTTTGCGCGCCAAAAAATTCACGTAGAGCCCGACGTAGAGATCGACTATTTTCATAATAGGCTTGCACAATTTTTACACGTTGTTCAGTCGTATATTGCTCCATGAAATCTCATATGATAATAAACCAATACAGTGGCGTTTCAAAAAAATATTTCAGATTGTAATGTGGAAATTCTCAATGAGTATAACAATAATAACATTAATAGTGCAAAAAGTTGGCGTTTTTTTGGCTACTAAAAGTTAAGCTCATCACCTGCAGAATAGTGCAAACTCAGATTACACGCATTTAGGTAGGACCAAACGTAGGTGTTGAAATTATTTCAAGCTTATCAAATGGCGAGGGACAAAATGATACAATTTTCCAAAAGCAAGGTAGAAACGAATTAAAAAAATATTTTGCGAACCACACTGGTGAAGTTCCGTGACAATATACGCTCGCTTTTCGCGGAAATCTGAAGGTGGTCGTCGAAAAACAACAGCGAAAAACGACCGTAAAAAGAAAAACGTCGATATTCTCACGGAATCGAGCGGAATAAACGAAACTGATAGGTAAAGTTACCTGATGGCTTCGCCTTTAAAAGACGTTTTAATAGCCTTACGTCTATCAACG